CTCTCTCTCTCTCTCTCTCTCTCTCTCTCTCTCTCTCTCTCTCTCCGCTGTCTGCTGCTGTATCAGTGAAATTATTGTTATCAATCACAGACACACATTCTGGTGGAAAGAGAGTGAGTGAAAACGGCAAGACTCAGAGAATCGTCTGCCCCCTCCCCCGATTCTAATGGCTTTATCGATAAATCTATAATAACTGCTGTAACTATTGCCAATAGATCACAACCAGCAAAAAAAGAAAAAGAAAACCAGTCGGTTGGTGAATTCAGTCAGACCGACCAACCAACCGACCGACATACGGCATTCGAATTGAGCTATCGACTTCGATCAACAATCGGCAAAAGACTGAATGAAACTGACCGACTGTCTGATTCCTCTTTCTTTTTCCTCTCTGACCAGTGGCCATTAGTGTGCCATTAATAACGGCACCACTTAAGTGGAACTTCATTCTTCATCGGTCTGCTAGTTCACCAGCACCCGGGCCCTCAATGACTATTTGATCAAGCCACACAGACAGACAGCAGCATCAGCAACATCAGCAGGAGCAGCAGCACTCCATTGGGTCAATTCTCTGCTTCTGCCCTTTTCTTCTTTTTATACTGCTAATTTAATTACAGCTCATTATTTCTTCAGGGCACAAGCAAGAAGGGGATGAAGGAACAACAACAAAAAAGTGCAGCAGAACAACAACAACAAAAACAACAACCGGCTGGTGCAGCATCAGCAGTAGTCGAACACTTGTACAGCCAGCTGCCACTGTCAGAATGCATTTGCCACCTAGACTATGCTAATGGGAGCGATGATGATGCAATGGTGGGTGAACACATTCGGGAGATCACCACACCATCATTTTGAATTGGAAATGGGCCTTCAAGTGGGCGCCCGTTCTCCCGTTCTCTAATTAGACTGCCGACCAATTAGACGATGAAGAAGACACAGACTTGCAAATAGACACACTCACACTTTGCTCTTTGCACAAAACTGCGTGAAACTCTTGATGCCCACTTTACTCTCTTTCTTGCTTTGGTGTCAGTGATCCGCTGGGCTCTCCACTAGGGACAAACGTGTGAGTGTTTAGTGTTAGGTTGAGTGTGTCTGTATCCCAAACAATTCTCAGCGGAGTTCTTCTTCNGCTTTGGTGTCAGTGATCCGCTGGGCTCTCCACTAGGGACAAACGTGTGAGTGTTTAGTGTTAGGTTGAGTGTGTCTGTATCCCAAACAATTCTCAGCGGAGTTCTTCTTCAGTCTGCTTCCCAGCAGCAACAGCACTAGCAGCATCAAGCTGCCTTCTCTTCGACGTTCTTATCTCGGCCTTGCAGAAAAGGGCCAACAGAGAAAGAAGGAGAGGGAGATAGAGAGAGGTGCCTGCATTCAGTCCACCAGTAAATCATCACTCATTGGCGCAAAGAACAGATGCACAGAGCAGAGCAGCAGCACTTTGCACCCTTTACCCGATTGACAACACCATTTAACCTCTTTCTCTTTCTCCTTCACTTTCACTTTGCCTCATTTGCAATTCCCAGTTGTCCCTCAACCGGGCCCTTTTCTTGTAGATACAGCAGCAGCAAAACGATTGCAACCAGGGCGCCAGAAAGAGATTGCCAGAGAACAGAGAAGCAGTTACAGTTACAATATTGACTGACCTACGGTCAAGCTTTCTGAGCAGCAGCAAAAGCAAATGGTTCTACAAATCGCTTTCGATTTGTAGCCTNGTTGTCCCTCAACCGGGCCCTTTTCTTGTAGATACAGCAGCAGCAAAACGATTGCAACCAGGGCGCCAGAAAGAAATTGCCAGAGAACAGAGAAGCAGTTACAGTTACAATATTGACTGACCTACGGTCAAGCTTTCTGAACAGCAGCAAAAGCAAATGGTTCTACAAATCGCTTTCGATTTGTAGCTGCTGCTGCTGCTGTTTCCAGAAAAGAGCCTTCAGGGTCTCAGTGTTGAAGCAGTTCTGCTGCTGCTGCTGCTGTTGCTGCAGCAACCAAAAACTCGTCTGTCCGTATCGATGATAATAGGCAAAATGATAGATCGACGGTGAGATGGAGAGCGCTAGCAAGCGGGGCCTAGCTGCTGTTGTTGTCTGTTAGCTCAAAAAGATGAAGATAGGCAAGTGGAGATACTGCCTCTGTAGCTCGCTTTCACTTTCACTTTCTCCCCTTCGATGACGTTAATTTGATTTGATCGCCTCCTCGCAACGCCAACACCAGCTCTGCTAATGGAAAGAATATAACACACACACACAATCACACATAAGAAGGAAAGGAGAGGAGACAACAACGACAATAGACCACGATGTGCCGTGGAAGGCGAAATTGGTGATGCTGGCCGGGCAGTGCTACGGCTGCTGCTGCTGATGATAAAGTGCCACCTAATAGATGATAGTGTCGTCGATGCTGCTGCTGCTTCTTTTGCCATCATTGCGTTTTTTTTCAATTTAAATTGATATTAAGCGGACGATGAAAGCGACAGAGAGACAGCCAGTCAATGTGCAGTTATGCACGGTGCACTGCACACTGAACAGAACTGAACTGCCGTGCACGACTAATGAGCACAGAAAACAGTGTGATATATGTGTGTGTGTGTGTGCTGGTGAATGAACAGAAACTACAGCTTCCAATTCGATGATGATGATGATGACATATTGACAATTACCGAGTGGTGACAGTGTACAGAGCTAGACAGAAAAAAGGCCGTGTGCTTAAAAAAGAGGGCCAGCACTAGGTCAGCAGCACCAGCATTACTACTACTACTACTACTACTCTTTTTGGTAAACATGCTTCAGCAGGCGGCTTGACTTGATGAGAATGTAGAAGCAGCTGAGGGCGACCAGAGCAAGGAGAAGGAGGACCAGCCAGCTCAGTAGCTCGGCGGCGATAAACTGTGGACTGAGGAGGAAAAAGGTGATCATGGGAACAAAAACAAAATAGCTTGTAAACAGTTAAAAACTGACCGCAACTCGGCAAAAAATTCCTCCAGTGTGCAGCACTTGCTCACCACATGAGAGTCCTCAAAGTTGCAGCAGAAGAAGGCAGGAAAGCGGCCACAGAAGTGCACCACCCGAGAGGCATTTATCTGGTAGTGGAGGTAGCTGCACTTGACCAACTCGGTCCGCCAGTTCGACAGACGACACTCGACAACTGTTCAAAAAAGGAAAATGGGCAAAAAAACAAATGTCATTGAGTTAGATGATTGCTGTTGCCATCCTGAAACATTTTACATGCTGAAAAGATGAAGAAGAAAACTACTCTTGCCAAAAGACGCAGTTGTAAGTGATGACAATCGGTCATGGCCATTGGAAGAAAAAGGGGGGGGGGAAGAAGACGAGGGTGAGCAAGATGATAATGAAAGAAAACCGGAGCAACTTGGAACAATCCTGCCAGCACTTGTTTTCTGCTGTTCTGCAGTTCGAACACTTGCCTGCCTAAATTGTTTCGAAATATCGATTAATATTAATAACGCACATAACAGTTGTTCAGTTTGTTGTGTGCCGCTGCTGCTCTAGCTAATAATGAAAACGTCAACATGGAATTTGGATGCTGCCTGCCTTCCTTACTTCCACAGCTGGACATTAGCTCGCTCGCGTAGCACCAGCATTTGACACCGCATCTATTTCAATCACCGTCGATTTAGAGCGAAAGATGCTTCTGATTTGTGCACAGGCGCCTGTCCTCCTCCTCCTTTTCTTCCTCTGAATTCCGGGACGCATCATCATTGCTCGGCAACACCGAACTTTAATATGTTCTCGATTAGCTTTATTATTTAGTGAGGGGGACACACACACATCGACAGGCGAATATCAATTTGCAGAGTGGACCCTCTTTTCACTCAGTATGCCACTAGTTCCTCCATTAGACACTTTCTACTCAGAGCCCCAGCAGCCATTGTAGCATCTCCCACCTGAGCAGACAGCAATGCAACAGCAGCAGTATCTTCAGCCGGTATCCATTACTATTATTGATGGGGAGCATCAGTGCACACACACATACACCTCCCCATCACCACTTTCAATAATGGTGCGCATCAGTTATGCGAGGCAAGTGTGCACTCAACTGTGTGTGTGTAAGTGTGAACTGCTGCTGCTGATCACTAATCCAACGGCAGAGAGCAGCGAAGGAGGTAGATCAATCATCACTGCCTGAAACTGCCTGCTCTAAACGAGTTCCAAATGAGTTGACCGTTTGAAGGAGAAAAGACAGGATTTACTTTTTTGTGTAAAGAAAAAAGGTCAGTTGTCTAAAATAAGTAAAGGAAAGAAAACCATACAGTTACTTTAAGAAAACAAAGAAGTGCGGCCTTTGTGTAGGGTGCATGCAAATCTGCAATCTCATCAAGTCGGGTTATCCAGGGTTGACAGAAATCTGTGCTTCAGCAGTACACTCTGACTTCTATTTTAAAATCTTTTCCACTATCATTTTTTTCTCTACTACTGTGTAGTGGAGGTAACGGTAGTGTCCGCGTAAACAGGCTCCTCAGGCTCGACGGGCGTCGTGGGAGTCGAGGAGGAGGACCTCTCATTAATGGCCTCCGCTTCACCTGGAGAAGGTACCCACAGGCCGCTGTCTATACAGCGCTTCATGTGCAGCTTCGCCTCTTCCACGTCCAGCGTCAGTATCGTCTCCTGAAGCAGCTTAATATCGCGCGTCTCAAAGCACTTCTGCAGACACTCGGGCAGCGACTCAAAGACCTCCTGTGGATCGAGGCCACCAGGTCCGAGCCGTTGCTTCCTCTCCTCCTCCTCCACCTCCTTCATTGCGTCTTCCAGGCGCTTCTTTGCACGGGTTTGAATGCGCTCCTGGAAAGACTTCACCTCGTCTTCAAAGGCGTCCATGTACTCCTTGTCGGCCTTTTGAATGCGCGTAAAAAATGCATTCACGCAGCCCCTGGGATCGATGTCCATGTGCTTTGACAGCTCGAGGATGTAGTGCAGGCAGATGGCCTGTCTGCTGATGTGCTTCATTAGCTCGTGTTTGCCTTCGATCTCCAGGTTCAGACACCAGAAGGTCAGGTAGGTGGAGGTCTCTTCGCAGGCTGGAAAAAATAAAAGTTTGCTTAGAAACTGCAACAATATTGCCATTTTTAGTCAACACTCACCCAAGTCCTGGTACTGCATGAGGAAATTTCGAAGATCATCAAACTTGGAGAGCATGGCAAACTCCTTGATCTTTGACTCGTACTTGTCTACAAAGTCTTTGTAAATCTTCTCCTGCTCCTCATCAGTCAATTGCGAGCGATCTTTGCGAGGCATAGGTTTATTGAACATGGTCTTACTCCAGCTCTCCTTGCTGATGGTGTCGACGTTCCATGGAGTGCTTCGTTCCTGCTTCTCCAACTCCTTCTCCTTCACCTCAACCTCCTTCTTCTGTAGTTCCAGCTTTCTTAACTCATTTTCAATTACTGTTTGATCATCCGCTGCGGCTTTCTTCTTCTTCAACTCTTCAAGCTTCTTCTGCGTCTCTTTCTTTTTTTGCTCCACCTGCTCCTTCTCCTGGGCCAGTTGTTCCATTCGCTCTATCCGGGCCTGGTGTCGCCAGCGGAAGAGACTAGGAGTGTCAATATTTGGATGCGTATCATCCTCATCGTCGCTGATCTGAGGGTGAGATGATTAAGTTTTTCTTATACAGTTCACAGCACAATTTGCTACAAGTCTTCAATCAAGAAGAAGAAGACTCACCTCAATGTTTTTCCACTTGCTGTAGTCCACCATCGTCGTCTGTGAGGTTAATTTTGTACGTTTTGTAAATGTTGGTTTTGTTGTATACACAATTTTGCCGTTCACTGACTGCCAGTTCAAAAGTGCCTGCAGACGGTGATGCACTCTCACAAGCCAAGGCGGTGAAGAGGGTGCGAAGGGAGAGAGAACGAGAGAGAAGTTACGCCGAGAAAGTTCTAGAAAATTATTAATCGCTGTAGAGATGGCGCCACCTCTTGATTAGTTTTTTAACACATCTTTTTAACCAATTTGGCTCATCTAGATTTAGATCGTTTTTCAGTTGTCAAGTACCGAAATCTGAAATGAAACTTTGCTCTAAACACTCGTCAACACTAATTAACTCATTGTGGAAAATAAAGTGAGTTCTTTTGGAATACATGAAGGTGATAAAATCGTCTCCTACTGCTTTTTCAGTTTTTCCCTTGTCCATCGCAAAACCACAATTCTCTGTTTTTGTTAATTAATGTTACTTTTTCAAGTAAAGGAGGCATCTTTTGTTTTTTATTAAAACTAAAAGTAAAATTTTCAATCTAAACCAATTGATGGCGCAAGCTATTTGATATAGTTCAACAAATAAATTGAAACTAAGAAAAAAGTTTTTGTTGTGTAATTGACTGTAAAAAGGTGTGCAATTATTAAGGTCCACACACAATAATATTTTTTATACTTTGTTTTTACAAATTGATAATCAAATCAGACAATTAAAGTTAAAATTTATTGTTTTGATAACTTTATTTTAACAAAAACTAATTTTTCCAATTTTGTTTTGTCACGCAATATTTTAAATCAATAATTTAAACACATGCAGATAAATATAATATGCACACATATAAATGCCTTAGCGTTCATTTTTTGGCAAAAAATAAACTGAAGATACACTTTATTCATTTTTTACCACCTTTAATCTTTTTTGTATAGATGTCTTAACACGCAAAAGTTTAAAGTATTTACAATGACACTCAAACGTCTACTCACCAATCGAAGCATTGAAAACATAAAAACAAATCAAAAGTGAGAATTACAGTGCAGGATGCACAGTTTGCCATAAAAAATTTTGACAAATTACAAAGTTCAAGAGCTGCTGAATTGGCACATTGCATGCTAAAAAACAAAATCATTTTAAAAGCAAAACAAATGTTAAACCTGTACAAATAAACTAAAAACATAATGTTTGTTTTCAAATGCTTTAAACATTATAAATATTTTAAACAATAATTTCTTAACTGTTTAACACTTAAGTATATGCAGATAAAATTATAAATATAATAAAGTAGCGGTTGGTGCAACTGTTTCTGTAATACCAATAATTAATTTATTTTTATTTTTATGCTAAGTTACAATTATTTAAATTCTGCAATTTTAAATTTTTAATGATAAATCTATAAAGCATTAATTAAGTTTGTGAAAATATGAATTTAATTAGTTTTAAATAAACTAGTTTAATTTTTTTATTAGTTTATTCTATAACTTTACATATTAAAAAATGTACATTATTTTAAATTTATGTTTGTTTTTGCTTGTTTATTTATAAGTTTTGTATTGTTAAGTTTATGAACAATAAAAGTTTACTGAACACATAAATTAAAATTTCAAACTTTTTTAAACTTGATAACTTAAAAAACATTTTATTGGTTTCTGAATACTTGTTTTAAAAATTAAAACACCAAATTAAGACACCAAAACTTGTTTAAAACTAATAACAAAAAGATACATTTTCAACAAATATTTTAAACATTTCAAGTTTTAAAATGTTTTTGCAAAACTTAATTTTATTTTTTGAATTCTGTTTTCAATCCTTTGTTAAAATTTTAAAATTGTTTAGAAACATTTTTGCAACTCATCATGATATTTTATTTAAAAATCTCGATCCTGTTCAAGACACAATGTTAACTTTAGATGAACTAAAAATAAGCTATTTGAAAATTCAAAATGATAAAAGTACTTATCACTTTGAATATCTACTACCTTTGTGCGAAATTTGTATATCTATCTTTTTTGGAATTGTAGTTGTTCCACTGCATTTTGAACCGAATCGTACTTGGTTTGAGTTGTTAAAAAGCCCGTATAACTACGGACACTTCCTTTTTCCCAAATCAGTTTGGAAAGCGCTAGATCCAGTAACTTTTGCCTCTTCAGTAGCTCCAATTGCTAACATGACAATTTTAATTTTGCACACTAAAATTCCGCCAATGTATTTGCGCTGTAAAATATCAGGACAAAAAATTGATGATTTTCTTGTTTATGATGGAAAAGGTTTGTTTATATTGACTGTATTTTTTGTGTTTTTTTTATTAATTTTGAACTTATTTTTATCAGTTCTTGATCAATCTGACACTATTCAAATTCTTCGTTTTCGGAAGCGTTATCTTTTAATTCTGAATAATGCTTACTTGTGCCTAATGATTACAATGTCTTCATATATGGGTTTATCAGTCTATCTTCACAAAGACTCGACTTTTGACTTTGTTTTTCTTCTTTTCTGGACTTCAATATTTCCGCTTTTTACATTTTATGCTTCTTTTGGTATACGAATACTTACTGAATAATTTTGCAACAACTTATTATTTTCTTTTTGATTCAGCCTGTTTTTACATAGGAGCTTTTCCAATTCTTGCAAGTGAGTGCACTCAAATTCGCCAGGTATCTCTTAGCAAAAAGTACAGCGCACTAATTGAAAAGCTGACCAACAAGAGCAAAGAAAGCTACCAAGTCTACTACAGTGAATTTGTCAGTCTCTCCAGTAAACTTCACGAAATCTGCCTGTCAATTGAAGCCTACGCTCAATACTGGAACCCATTTCTTTGCGTCCTTTTTCCTTACTTCATCTCCATGCAGTGCTACCTTGCGTATGCGGCCTTTTTCTTAAAAACAAAAAATTTTTTCGAACGTTCACTACTGCTTCATGGAATGATTGAGTCAGTAATGGTTCTCTTCATAATCATCAATCGCTGCGCGCAAGTTGTTCGACTGAACGGTCGCCTTGAAGGGCAATGCAAGGCGTACATAATGCAACAGATGGCTGTTTTTGCTGGCACAATTCACCTGAGGGACCTTATCAAAGCGGACAATGTCCAGTCAAATAGTTTGAAGAAATACTCATTTAAAGTTTTTGCAAACTACCGCATTGGCCCGAAAACCTTTTACATAGTCCTCTACCAAATATCAGCAGTCTTTTTGGCTATACAACGACGATGATGACTACAAAAGTTTAAATAATTTTATCAAAGATGTGCATTTTGTTTTATATGTTTCTTTTTTCAAAATGCCAACTTTAATTGTTTATCACGGTTTATTTGCTTGATAAGTTCTTCATATGCACAGTTTAAAATAAGATTTCAAAAAACAGTAACTTATATTTAAAAGAAATAATTTATTTGGCATATTTTGTACATTTATATTATTAAATATCAAAACAAAGCAAAAGTAATTACTGTAGTTAATAAATAAAATAACTTGTATGCAATCACAATAGTATTCAAAATAAATCACTTTTAAACGTTTGTTTTCTTGTCATACACACTGAAATTTTCGACATTTTCGGCCAAAAAAGCCCTTTCTACACTCGGCATCTCGTTTGCATATTCGGGCTTTGCTTGGAATGCATCGTGCACGGTAGCATTTAAAGTAGAATCCCTTTCCAATGCAATGAATATTCTGGTTGCATTCAGCTCAAAAGCAGGTCCCAGCGAGACAAACACCCGATCGACCGCACTGAAAATGCTGCACACAAGAGCTGGTCAGATTGACGGTGAGAATTAGAGCACAAAATAGGAGCAAAGAGCGAGAAAACTTCATCTTGTTGCTGGGTGATCTGCCGAAGAAGTGCCGACTCCCTGGAGGAAGGTTGTGCCAGTGACTTTCGGAGCTTTGAAGATGCTGTCGTGCAATTTGTGCTGATGGTGGGTACCTAATTAGCAGCTGGAAAATCACCAACCACGTCCTGATGAGGTGATAACTGTGGCCGGCGACAATGTGATGTTCATTGCTGTTCGTTTTTATACAGTGCAAGCAGTGCAGCAGCTTCTTCACTGATTGCTGGCCGACAGCAATGCTGTACGACAGCCACCTCAGGCACACTGGATGCTGTGTGCCAACTGATGATGTGCAGTACAGGAGAAAGAGAGAGAGAGAGAGAGAGAGAGAGAGAGAGAGAGAG